AATGACTAGTAAAACATTAAAAAAAATAAAGTTAGTGATCAACATGAAGTTGCTGACTTTTTCTTGTGCTAAGAATATTAAGAACAACAAAGCCTGTCCCGGCTGGGTGGCTCAGTTGGTTGGAGCACGTCCCTATATGCCAAGATTGCTCTCCGATGGTTGTCAGGGCACATACAAGAATCAACCAATGAATGCATAAATAAGTGGAACATTAAATTGATGTTTCTCCCTCCTGTCCTCTATCTGAAAGCAATAAACAAATAAACAAATAAATAGATTTAAAAAGAATGACAAAACTGAAACTTATATCCATCACCATTATTTAGTAAAAAGATATTAAAAATGTTTTATAACTGCAAAAGTACATGTATGATCTGTTAAAATTGCACAGAAGTATAAACAATCATTTGCTTTCTCTCTATAAAAATCATGGGCATCCTTCCATACAGTTCTACCTCATTTGTAAAAAGGACATTTTTAACAAATATATTGTTAAATACATAGGCGCGTGTACATATTGATATATATTATGTATTTATTACATATAAATATGGATTTTACATATTCACTCTGTATAAAAATATTTGTAAGAAATATATAATTTCAGAACAAAGAACAGCCCTTACCACGAAAGGACAGGTGACAACCTTACTTAGACATTTTGGGGACCACTGGCTTAGATGACCTTCCATCTCTTAATTCCATGATATCCTTAGCATTTACATGCCTTTCATTATTATCACTAACCTATATATTTTAAAAAGATAAGTAGGAATCTCTTTACTATCTCCTTGGGTAGAAAATCGTAGATTGCAAAGTGCTTTTTCAGTTCTCTGACCTGCTTTGTTGCACGAGTTCATGTCTGTGCTCTGGTTCATATCAGGGTTTTACTCTGAAGTCCACAGACTTCAGGGTATTCATGAAACCATGAAAACATATGTGATACTTTGTATACAGTGGTAGTCCGGTACTCATCGGTACTCATGTTTATTTGTTCTGGAACTCCTGAAAGTGCCGAAACTGACCAATACTGAACAAGTAAGTGACAAGTGATGAAGCATTTTCTCTTGTGGGGTGATGTGATTCGCATAAGTTCTAGCAAGTGGAACAACTTCACGAGCAGGTGCTCAGTGCTGAAACATTTTTTTCTCATCAAAATGCAATGAGTACAGGGTTTGACCAATTCTGAAGCCAACGAGTACCAAGGTATGACTGTATTTACTGTTTTTCTGGGGGAAGGGTTTACAACTTTCTATGATCCAAAGAAGGTTAGAAACTATTGCTTTGGGAAAGTTTCTTGCTTGTGCTTTATATAAATAATTTTATTATTATTGGCTTTGATGTCCCTTACAATGTTTTTCCTTGGGGGCAGGGGTTAGCATCTAATTTTTGGGTTGCATTTGACAATTGCATACTTCAGTTCCTTGTTCTTACCTTAATGGTCTTTTCCTTAAAAACAAAACACATTTTCCTCTACCAATTAGTCATATGGTATTTTAATTACTTATTTTATTTTTTTGAAGTAGAGGAAAATAGCAAAAGGTACACAGTGGTACCCATGTTGAAACTGACAGGGAAGGGAGATAAGCAGCTAGAGAAATCGAGTCACACAGGATCAGATAAAAGGCCTGAGGACAGCCAGAATAGGTAGGTAAAAGAAATACAGAGGAACAAGAAACAGAGAGAGATACAAAAACAGAGAAGATAGAGAAGGATGGCAGAAAAACAGGTTGGCAAGAAAAGAAAGGAGTTGACTGAGAGGCAAGCAAGATCACCAAAAGGAACAGAAACAGACAAACAGAAAGGGGTAGAAAGAGAAAAGGCAGAGAAAGAAATAAAACAATAACGAAAAAGAAGACAAAGTGATGATAATGTTTTATACTACCCAGTACTTTATAATTTATAAAGTGCTATGACATACATTATTGCAGGCAGGAAGAATACAGCAGGCAGTTAGGGTGACGGAGGGATAAAGGCCAATCAGACAGAAAAGAAGGAAGGTGGCCAATCAGAAGGAGAGGCTAGAATGGAGCCCAAGACATAGTTAAGAGGAAAGACAAAACCAAGAAAAGAGAAGTGAGAGAGGGAAAGTCAGGAGAGACAGAGATGGAGACTGAAATCATTAAACTCGGGAATACAGGCAGTAAAAAAGCAGAAATGAAAGAACAGAGCATTGTGTTTAAAAGTATTATCATCACCTTTCTGGAAAGACTTAAGATAGAGGCTACAGCTTTGTTTCTCCCAACAAGTTATAACACCACCAAGGTGGCATGTGAAAGGAATCAAAAGAAGGATGAAAAGGGAGAAGAAGTGTTAGTAAGAGGCAGAGTTTTTTAGACTAGGAGGAAGACAAACTTCTTGGACAGTCATAGGTCAACAACCAAAGTGTGCTGCTGAACCTAAAAGGATCTAGATTCACATGCCTTTAAAAAATGCATACAGATGTGGGAAAGGCAAAATGGGCCTGTATCTACTCTATTTGCATGTAAACTCAGCTTCCAAACTATCTGTACTTACTAAATTGTACCTATGTTTGTAGGGTATTTTTCAGTAAGTACTACCAGTGCTTTTCTCAATTAATACATCAGTCATAAGGAGACAAGCAGAGGTAGACTCTCATCAAGACAATTTATTATGCAGAATAGGAGATTAGGAGAGAGCAAGCCCTTCCTAAGTGCTCCTCAGGTACTGGTAGTACAGGCATGTGAGTAGCAACCAATCAATCAAAAAGACAAGTGCCATAAAGTAGAATCAAAAAGACAAAAAGAGATGGTAAACCCAGTGAAATATGAAGGGATACTGACAGACTAACAGTGGAAGAAGCATTCAGCAGAACTAGAAGAAAAGTAGGAAGGAATGAGGCAAAAAGCAAATACCCGTAAATATGCACTCTTTTCTGGAACAATATCCAAGAAATGTGAAGAAGTGACCAACTCTGAGGAAAGGAACTAAGGGCTGGGGAAGAAAAATAGCAAGAGAGGCTTACTCTTCACAGGACACTTTTAATACTTAAAACATTTTGTACCATGTGTATGTACTATCTATTTAAAAATTTATTAAAAAATAAGAAGAAAAACAAAAGCAAGCCGATACATGGACAGCAGAGCCAGCCAGGCAGAGAGCAAAAAGGCAGGAAGACAAGGAGAGATGGGGAAAATGGCAAAAAGACTGAGGCACAGACTGAGGAACCAGAAAGACAAAAAGGAAAAGAGACAAGTGAAATGGAGGTAAGCAGCGAGAGAAGGCAAAGTAAGGGATGTGACAAGAAGGCAGGTAAGACTTCAGGGCAAGGGGTTCACTGAGACATTTGGGGTAGAGAGCCCATCACCGTTGATGGGATGTTGAAATAGAGGAAGTCAAGGGAGAAAAAAACTGATAAGCAGAAAGACAACAAAGATACAAGCATTAAATATGGAATAGCAGCAAGCAAGTATGTAGATAGGCAAGAAGACAGACATAAAGAGAAGCAAGGAAAAAATCATTAACTGGCATAAATAAGAGGTGGAACAAGTAGAAAGGTAAGAGAAAAACCAAGACAGAACCATGGTGAGGACTGGAAGGTAGACAAACCGCGGCTAAAAAAGTGATAGAGACAGGCAGGCGGGGAGACAGATGGCTGGAGAGAGAGTGGTGGGCAAACAGCCAGAGAAGCAGACAGACAACCAGGGAGAGAAAGAGGCTGGCAGCCAGTCAGGGAGGAGCAGACCGGCAGGCAGGCAGACAGACACCATAATAGGAGTAAGCAGGTAGAGAGACAGGCGGAAACAAGGATAGAAGAAGAAAAATCAAGAAGTCAGTAGGGAGAGAAGGGAACAGGAGAAGCAGGCAGGTAGAGGAGATGGACAGGAGGAAGAATCAGGCAAATTAACAGATCCATATGCAAAGCACATTTGAAAGAATGATAGATAAATGTTAGCACAGGGATGCACACAGCCACCTTTAGCCACCTACACCTGCAGCTCATGGCACATGTGCAGGCAGGCAGAGGCACTTGGCACAGAGGGAGAGGGCACAGAGGCAGAGAGACTGTGGTGCACATGTGTAGGGTTGTCAACAGACACGTGGGGACACTCTTCTTAAACACACACAGAGGGGCCAGAAAGGGGGGAGTCAGGCACACATGAAGAAGAGGCACATGCAGTCAGATCCTGGAAGACAGAAGTAAACAGAAAGAAGACAGACATGGGTAGTTATTTAGAGGTAAAAGAGCCTGAGAGTCAAAGGGATGAGTGAAAAATAAAGTCTCAGTGAAAAATACACATACAGAGAAGCCCATAGGCAGGAAAAAGGAATGAATACTCAGATGGACTAGGAAGAAGAGAGACTGAGAAAGAGGACAGAATACAATCAAATGGAAGAGAAATAGAAGTTAGACTCATACAGGAATGATATGGGAGTAGAGGCAAGAGAATTCCAAAGACCAGGTTAAGGAAAGGTAGAAATCAATGTACAATCAAGTACATTAATGTGTGTGTTTTGGGTGGGTGGGTAGGGGTAGGTGGCACATCAATAAAGAACGTTTTAGCCTCCTAGCAAAAATCCACATAGTGTCCCTTATCACTAATACTTTCTGGTTGCTGCCTACCTACCCAATCCTCTTAAGGTGCTCCTGAAGACTGCAGGGTTTCCTGGGTGGCTGGCAGCTATACTTAAAAGGTAGGGAAAGAACCCAGCAAAGAAATGATTCCACAGACATAGTGCGAAAAGCTAGGAAAGGGACAAAATGAGATCAAAAGAACAAGAGGAAACTAGAGTAACAAAAGGGTGACAAGAACAAAAAAGGGTAGAACTGAGATGAGCTGTTCACCCTCCTTTCTTTGCTAGCCTTGCTCACATGGCAAATTTTATTTTACAACTTCTCTAATCAAGTCTCTGGATGAGAAAGCTACTTTTGGACTCCTTTTCAGTCTTCCATTTGATTACCACTTTTAAGGTAAACATTGGGTACAATTGGAAATTAAGGGTGAGAATCGGATGAAATTATGAGTACAATCCCCTACCTCTTTCTTTTTCTCAGTTCCAGTTACTTTTCTCTTTCATGGTACCTCAGTTTCTTCCACTTTACATTGTTGGAGGTCATGGAGGAAGGGAAATACACTGAAATAGGAGAAAAGAGAAAATCATTTCACAATCTTCAAACTTGACTCTTTCCCCTTCATTCTAAAAATGTTTTATTTACCCCTAAATTAACTTTCCAAGTCAGATGAATTTTATATTCAAGCAACTGGGGAAGGGAAAGGCCAGGTAAAGGAGAAAAGAGTGAAAATAAAATATGTAATTATTAATCACTGAAGAGGCTGGGCAAAGGGGAGAATCAAACATGGACTCCTTTGAAAAAAACTCAATCATTGTATCTATTCATATCTCTGCCCCAAAAGTCACTAGGATTTCTACCACTTTTTTGAAGAAAGAAAGAAAAAAAATCCAGTATCACTTCTCACTTGAAAGATACATACACAATTAAATGTGTTTTGACTCCAATGAGGTATGTAGAAACAGAGTTATATATAAACATATATTTCATCTTTTTCCTTTTCAATGCCTGAAGGGGAAAAAAACCCTTCACATCAAACCACTCCCTTCTGAAGTATTCAGAAAAAAAAAAAGCGCTTTTCTTTAGAGAAGGGAGGTGGTGAGGAAGAGACTAGTAAAGAAAATAAAAAAATTAAATGTAGTTGGACTAGTATCTAACTAGTTAACCTTTAACAATTTATGCTGATGTCAGACTGAGCATGAGTACTGATTAATGCCCCCCCTTAAATATTTTTTATAAGGGGGAGTTAGTCACAGCAGCCATTTTTGTTTTATGCAGAAATCCTTCATGCCCCCCCACCCGCGCACACACACACTCAGTACACAAGGAAAATATCTCTATTAATAATCTGTGCACTAATCAGTTATGAAAAAAGGGAGAAATTTGTGGGTTTCTGAGTAGAGGTTTGGAGATGGGGGTGTAACAGGGAAGAGAATGGGGTGGGGGTGAAAAATGAAATATTAAGCCAGCCATTTTGTTTTAAAAGGGGATTTTCCCCCCTCTCCCTTTCTTTATGGAGGGGGTGGCGGTGCTGGAGGGGGGGTTGTTTTAAAAATAATTTCAAGGCGGCCATCTTAGTGCCTCAGCTCTGAGAAATATTTCTGAGCGCCCCCCTCAGAATTTAAATATATTTAAAGTAACAGAGAGGGGGGTAGAGAGAAGTCGAAAACTTTTATATATATATATATATATATATTTTTTTTAATCCCCCTTTCTTGTTCTCTTGGAAGGAGAGAAGGGGGGAAAAAGTCTCTCCTCAATTTTTTCCAAGAAAAATTTTGGGGGTGGTTTGGCCCCCCTCCTCAGACGGCGGCCCCGAGGGTGGGGGTTTTGGAGGGGGGTGGCCCGGGGGTTTGGGGGGCTGGGGGAGGCTGAGAGGAGGAGGAGGACGCCGCCGCCGAGAAGGAGGAGGAGGAGGAGGAGGAGGAGGTGGTGGTAGCGGTGGGGGAGGCGGGCGGGCGGTGGGTGGGGGGGTGGTGGGGGGGCCAGAGCCACAGGATGGCTTCCCCTCTGAGGGACGAGGAGGAGGAGGAGGAGGAGATGGTGGTGTCGGAGGAGGAAGAAGAGGAGGAAGAAGAGGGCGACGAGGAGGAGGAGGAGGAGGTGGAGGCGGCCGACGATGACTATGAAGACGACGACGAGGGAATACTCGGGCGCGGGCCGGGCCACGACCGGGGCCGCGACCGCCACAGCCCCCCCGACTGCCACCTCTTCCCGCCGCCGCCACCGCCGCCCCCACCGCTGCCGCCGCCCCCGCCGCCAGGTAAGCGGCCGCCCGACTCACCCCCCACCCCAGCCCGAGTAGGAGCTGCGGGCGCGCGAGGCCGGGCGGGGGCGAGGCACCCACCGCGCGGCCGAACCGAGGCGAATCCGGGATGCGTAACGCCGTCTCGGGCCCATCGCCCGTGGCGGTTCGGGCGGTCCGAGCGGTCCCCGCGGGCAGCGGCGGTGGCCGCTGGGCCGGGCCTCCTCCCCTCCCCCGCCGCACCCCTCCTCCGCCGCCGCCGCCGCCGCCGCTGTCGCCCCGGCTGGAGAGCGCTGGGCGCGAGCTGCGCGCGCGGACCGGGCCACTCGGTCGCGGCTTTCGGGGGAGGAGGAGGAGGAGATATTTTTTTTTTTACCCTCGGCGGGGAGGGGGTAGGCAGGAAACGGCTAAGGCGAAGCCAGGGCCCCCTCCTTGGCCGAACGAGGGACCGCGGAGACCCTGGCGGCCGGACGGCGGCGTGGGGGAGGGGCGCGTGGGGGAGGGGCGGCCGCGCGGGCACCCCTCGGGCGCCGGCCTGGGTGGGGTTGAACTGAGGTAAAGTGGGGTTTCTGTGTGTGGAGCGGACCGTGGCCCTAAGCCTTTCCCCTCAGGAGTTGGGAAGGCAGGGGAAGCGGTGTCCATCGGACCCCCACCTGCGGGGACTTCTGTGCCCGCCAACTTCAGGGGCGTGCGGTGGGGGAGGGGTCGTGTGAATGTTTGTGGGCGGCTGAGGACTGGGGCAGGTGGTGGCCACACTCCACGCAGACCACTTCCTGGAATCACTTGCTCCTACCCCTGCTCCCCACAGCTCGTCATAGGGAGAGCAGGCACCTAGAATTGGGGAAACCAGATGCCCCCAGTTCCACCTCCTTTATCTCTCTTTTGCTCTAGGCTCTTTTGTGTCAAGTGCGCCTCCCCCTTCCACCCCCGCCCCCCATGACCCTGTCAGTCTGGGGTGGCCGAGCTGCCCAGCTGTGACTCTCATGTGGCTGCCATTCACTGTCACTTACTGTCGCTGAAACCACCCACACCCTAACCACTTTGGGGGGTGTAAACTGCCCACCCAGCTGTTCTGCAGCTTGACCATCACTCAGCACTCCTTCCTGGGGATGACAAGTCCCTGGCGCACTCCGAGCAGTTCCTCCAGTTGTGGAGGGGACAGAACGCTGCCTCGCACCAGGGGCCCAGCAATGGCCCCACTCAGACCACCCTCCTAGTGAAGTTATTCTAGTCTTCCTTAGGATAGGCGGGCATCTTTGGGGTGTTCACCCTCTGCTTGGGTAATGAAAGGGGATATCCACACCCCCAAGCCTCTCGGTGCCATGCAGCACGAATGCACCAAACTTCAAAACGTCTAACATGTTCTTTGTAAAAGTGTCACACTGATCTGTGGCTTATCTGGCCTACATCCTTTGAGGCAGTGTGAGGTGCTTTATTAGGAGGGCAGAAGGATGGTGTCTGATGGAAATAAGGATAAAGCCCCCTCCACCACCACCAGGTTTCTTTGGAAAAGAGAAAAGTTTTTTAGAAAGTTATGCCAGTGAGCCCATTGATTTGCAGGAGGGAAAAGGAATAAAGAACTGTAGGGAGGGAGGATGCCAGAAAAACAGCCTGAGGGGCTTAAAAAAAGGGGAAAGAAAGGATGTGGGGTTATGTTAGGGGATTGGCAGCTGTCACCTATTTGCATTTCGAGCTTGGAATGTGGCATTTGGGTGTCTTTGATTCCAGATTTAGGTATGTGAGAGAGGAGCACTAAAGAATCTGAGGTTGAGAAGGGTCTTTGTGTCAATACTCCCTCCCCCTTTTCTCTTTGCTTTCTGAATAGATCAGAGGAAACATAAAATGTTTTTAAAATTTCTTATTTAAAGTGAAAACCCACCTCCTCTGTCTCCCAGGGCAATTTTATCTCCCGTTTAGCCCTTCCAGTGAAATGAGTGACCCAATACACCCCTTAGATGACTTTCTGAGGTAAAACTTTGGGAAAATATTTGTACTCTGTTCATTATTTGTCTCCATAAGTGTGGGCTAAATAACCCTTCTCTAAGGAAATTTGTTTGGGCTGCTCTCCCTCATCCTTTTATAGAATGTGAATTTATGCATATTAGAGCTCTCTGTTGTTTTTCGTTTTCACTGCTTTGATTCTCACCATTTTGTTTTACATTCTTACCGAAGACCAATTTTATCCCTTCCCCCCTCTCCCGTCTCCTTACGTTGTTAAACGTTTAAAATAATAGCACTCCGTATTGATGGGGGAAGGGAGAAGGAAGCCTAAAACTCATTTCTTCTCTCTCCCCCTTCTGGCAAGTCTAGAGAAATAATATAACATAATATATAGATGTGATTCCTTGGGGGTGGGGGTGGGGAATGATTGTGGGTGGTGCGGAAAATTCTGGTAGTTTCTTTGCAAAAGGTCTGAAGATACAAACCCACCCCCTGCATGTAATACGCATGTGCAGCAGGCCTATTATGGTGGTTCGTTGTGGGGGAAGGGGGGGAATTTGAGAAAAAAATAAATATATGTGTGAGAGATTGATGGTGAGATTAGAAGAAGAGGGGCGGGCAGGAGGCGAGGCTTGTTGCGAGACTCCTCCTGCTTTCTCTGGCTGCCAGGCTCCGCCTTTCGCTCTTCGCCCGCCCTCCTCCCGCGCCGTCTTCCCGAGATCTGAGCCGGGCCTGTGGGAGCGTCTGGGCTCCAGGCCAGCATTGAGTGGCTGGTGAGACAGAGGTTGGGATTTAGATTTGCCTTATTGCCCTCCCTTTGCATTCCTCGCCATTCTGCTTAGCCTCTCCCACCACCATCGTCTTCCCAAGTTCGGGAACCTCTTGCTGTGGTGGGGAGTGGATTTAACTGGCTGCGAGGTCTCAGGGCTTGTGTCCCACCCCCGGCTAGTGGTGACCCAGGCCGTTTCCCTGGTCCTTAGCCAGTTGGCCTGCCCTTGCCACTCTCGGTGCAGCCCGGTTTCCATATTCATAATAATCTAAGCCGCTGGGGTTAGGGAGAGCTGGCTGCTGAGGCCTGGCGTCTTACTGACTTCCTATTTCCCATTAGTGTTTTCACTTTGCTTTCCCCCACGGAGGGGGGCGGGGTCGCTTTCTGCAGGCACCTCCCCTCCCCCTATCCCAGAGTGTCTTCCTGCAGGAGAGGACACAGGATGCAGCAGTTAAGAGAAGTAACATTGAAGGGACTCTGAGGCAATGGAAACTGAGGCCTCAGGCGTTAATTGTGGCTAATTTTCCCTTGGCTGTTGTGGGAGAAAGGATTGTATGTCCTAGAGCAAGGGGCTGGGCCAAGCCCAGGCTTTCCCCTCCTTCAACAGCCACCTCTGCCAGAGCAAGACAGGTCTGGCTGGTTAGTCTAGTGCTTGCTGTGGGAGGGAAGCCAATCAGGGCTCCATGTCTGTGTGGCATCAGTGTCTTCCTCTGCATGGAGTAACTCTCTGTCTCCTAAGTCTCCACAGACTGGTGGGGGTCATGGAGAATGGGGCAATGGACATCAGGGAAGAACCAGCCTTAATCTCTAAATAAAAGACATTTGGGAAGTTAGGGACCTAGTCCGCTGCAAGCAGGTATAGGCTGCCCTTAATTTATGCTTATCAGTGTGAGGGTATGCTTGTGCATTTGAGAATATATATGTAGGATGTGTCTGTGTCTATATCTTTGTCTGGGTCTCCCATACTGTTTACATATGAATGGTCAGGATGTCTGGAACTAAATTTGGAAATGAAGGGTGAGGCCAAGGGACAAAGGATAGGGGCCCAGAGTTCTCAAAGGGAGCAGGGATATAGAAATAGATTCAAAAGCAGATTCCAGGCTGCTTGGGAGGAGGATAATTAGGTAATTGTGGAAACTTCCTACTGTTGGGTTAGGGTGCAATGAAGGAGCCAGACATTGTGATCCTGTGGGCCAGAAGTGAAAATGACCAGCTGAGAATTTCTTTTCCTCCAGGGCAGGATTGGGGTGATAGGAGGCTGGGTGATCATCTGCAGAAATATAGAGGCTTGCCTCTTTGTAAAAAGTATGTCAGAGCCCCACGGTGTTAGTGTGAGAACCCAGGTGTCCACCTTTGGCTCTCCCTTCTTAGCATCTGGCTCAGGGAGCTGCCAGCTTGTGTCTCCCCACTCCAAGTGTTGGGGTCAGGCCAGGCCAGCAGCTGGGCATGGCTTCCCTAGTTCCTGGGCAGGATGCCAGCTGGCTAAGTGAGGTTCGGGAAGGCAGGAGGAGCCCTGGCGGCAACTGAAAGGACCTGCCACAGTCAGAGCCCATGACCTAGAGCTTGGTCCCTTGTTAGTAGGAGGGGAGAGAAGGGAGTGGTTTGGCTGCTCTTTCCTTCTGACCCCTGATCTCCCATTCAGAACCAGAGCATCCCACAGTACTTGAAAGACTCTCTGAATCTAGTGAAGGGGGGTCAAGGTGTGGAGGAGTTAATGCCGGAGTTCCTAGAGAGTGGGAAGTAGGAACTGAGGAAATAAGGAAGGGTGAGATTGAGGGGTGGCATAGACTGGGAACCTAGAAGCTTAGGTTTTCTGGTGTTCTCTGCTCCGAAGATAAGGATGACATTCGGCTGCTACCTTCAGCATTGGGTGTGAAGAAGAGAAAGCGAGGACCCAAGAAACAGAAGGAGAACAAACCAGGAAAACCCCGAAAACGCAAGAAGCTTGTAAGTGTTAAGGACTCCTGTCTCCATAGTAACACTCAGCAGACCCATTCCCAGAGACCTAAATGTTTTCTGGTCCTAATTACCAGTTGGGGGCAGATCCTGAAGTGAGGGAAGCCTGACTTCTCTTCCCCACTCTTGCTGGCCTGTATCTCATGTATCACTCACTACAACCTAGTGAAGAGCCCAGTTTTCTATGTGACTAGCAGAGAGAAGCAGTTGAAAGAACAGGCTCTAGAGGTAGACTGCATGAATTTGGAACCCAGCAGTACTCTGCTTTCTTGGGCAATTTATTTAGCTCTCTGTGCCTCAGTTCCCTCATCCGTAAAAAAATGAAAATGAATAAAAATAAAAATAGATTATTGTCTCATAGAATTGTTGTGAAAATTAAAAGAGATAATATGTGTTATGTGTTGAGAACAGTTCCTGGCACATGGTAGGGCTGAAGAAATGTTATTTTTATTTCTCTTCCTTAGGACAGTGAAGAGGAATTTGGCTCTGAGCGAGATGAGTACCGGGAGAAGTCAGAGAGTGGAGGCAGTGAATATGGAACTGGACCAGGTCGGAAGCGGAGGCGGAAGCACCGAGAAAAAAAGGAGAAGAAGAC